AAAGCCCTGGTTCTTTGCACTCAGAAGATGGAAACTGGTGGTTGAATGTGGCCTCACCAAAAGAAGGAAAAACAAAAGACTAAAAACTAAGCCAGAATGGGAACCAAAGACAACTTGGACTCGTTAGCTCCACATCTCGACCCAACAGGACTACAACTACCAACAAGTAGCACCAAGACTCCTCACTGAACACCTGAGGCCAACCCAAGCTCTTGAGTGTGGCCTCCGAGGAAGTGATTCTCGTTCTCAATGAATCTTGGATGTGTAGATCCGGTGAAAAGGGGAAAACTCAGTTTGCCAAACGAAGACAGAAACAAAACATTAAGCCTCGCTTTGCTCCTGCTAAAAGGAACGGGTTGAACCCCTCCAGGTGGCAGGAACAGCCCAACACCAAATCCCTATTGCCCAAATTGACCATAGCTCCAAGAAAATACATCTTGGGCCTGCTCCTGCTGATGTTCTGCTCATGCTCCCACTGAAAGCAGTGGTCAAGGTCCTCCAGGGAAATGGGACTGTTCTTGGGGCTTCAGTATGCCCAGCATGTAAGGTCACCCAGAGGCAGGAGTGCTGCTGCCCTCAACAGGGAGATGGTGTTCCCCAGAGGATGGGGTAACATGGAAAAAATCTAAAACAGATCAGCTCAGCTGCACCACTGAGACCAAAATGGGGCCCACAACCATGAAGATATCTAGAGATACCTAGAGCATATCTCTGCAAGGCATGTGGTCCTCTCCCAGTGATATGAACATGCCCATCAACTCTCACTGTGGCCTCCAGGGATTGGCCAGGGGAGGGCAAGATGCTGCCAAAAAGCTGGGCATTTCCACGGCATCCAAAATAGTTCAAAGGCCAGACTTCCAGCTCTGAAACCCCTTCAGGCATCCCAGCCTTGCCTGACTTCACCCCATCCCCTCCTGTCTTCTAGCTTGGCCTCGAATGGGCTCAACGGGCTGGAGTGTGGGAAGGGGGTGGTCAGCACCCCGCTTCCCCAAAATGGGAATCACCTGTCTGCTCAGGTAGCAGCTTTCTCCTTCCCCCTTCACTCCCAGTCTCTCGCAGCTCTCCGGGATTCAGACTGTGCAGTGCTTCTGAGTGCAGTAATTAGAGCACAGTGAAATACTGATTAAATGCGTATGTACAGTTGGATAACGTAAAAATAAGCACAAATACACACTTAGAAAAATAATCTGGAAAAAAAAATAACAAAATCCACCCCTTCCCTCCCCCCACAAACAACAATATACCAGGGGATAACCCCTTAGCCTTAGTTCCTGGACTTATCACAACACACGAGGAAACCAAAACCAGACAATGTTATAAAACCTCACGGTACTTCTAGGGAAATCTACACTTAGTATCTAGCTCTCTACTCAGCTGGCAGAATCGGTGTTTTCCTTTCAAACACACAAAAATAGGCTTTGCTCTTCTTGGATTTGGATTATGCGGGTTTTCTTTCCTTTTACTTTTCTCCGTTTTTATGGGTTTTGTTGTTTTCTTTTTTTCTCTCCTGTTCCTCTCTGTATAGCCTCACACATAATTTTTTTTTCCGCTTGAATCACTTGCAGCAAAAAAATTTTCTTGGCTATGGATCTTTCTTTTTTCTCTCTGTCTTCTTTTTTCTCTCTTTTTTTTCCCTTTTTTTTTTTATTTTTTATTTTTTTTCTTAGACACAGGTAAAACCTAAAACAAACCGACAGTTACAACCAAGTGTGAAACTGAAACTAGAAGGGAGGTAGCTGGAACCCGATTCCAAGAATCCTCTGGTGCCATCCTCCTTTCTCAGCCTGGGGGTGACAGCGGAAGATGCAAGAAAAGCAGGAGGACACCAGCTCAGCCTGTCTGCAAGATGGTGGGGAGGGAGAGGGGTAGCAGCTGATTGGAGTTTCCCACCCCACCGTGCACCATTCACCGCTTTCTGCTCCAGCTTTCCCTCCTGCTGGCCATGGACATCCCCCACAGCCTGGTGGCCCCACATAAGGTGCAGCCCTGGCTCATTATTTATGACAGAGAAGATCTTGGCACTAATGGGAACTGGACTTTATGAGCAGCTAAATTTCACCAGCATCAGCACCCCATTCTCTTCCCCCACACTTCTGGTTTGATGTTGTCCTGTGCTGCTGGCTCAGTGGGTGGAGGTGGGGGTTGATGTCCCTCTCACCTTCCACCCACTGGCTCCCACAGTCAGGGAGGGTCTTTCCTAGGACTCCACTGGGCATTTGAGGCCCATACAGTGGTAGATGATGTGAGGATACAGCTGGCCTTGCCCAAGGTTGGAAGCACAGGGGACAAGACCTGAGCATGTGTCAGCTCCCCTCTTGGCATCTCTCTGAGTGCTTGATACAGCACCTGAAAATGCAGAGGGGATTTTCCCCAATGGAAAAAAAAAACCCAACAAATAATTGGATTTAACATGACTCAGAGCAGAACTTTTTTCCACTCCTGATCCCATCAGGCCTACTGCAGGAGGTGGACAGTGCCAACATAGCAGTTAAAAATAAAAATCAAATAGCAGCATGGAAAGTCTGCCGGTGGGAAAGGGAATTGGGGCACACCAGGACTGCAGGAGGAAGTTGAGGAGTGAGGCTGTGCTGGTGAGAAGCCACTCTCCTTTGAGCTGAAGTCTCCAGCTCAGCAAGCAGGGGCTGGCCCTGGCTGGCCAGAGAGGCTCAGCTGGCCCTCAGCTCCTGTGAGCCCACAGCAGCAAGTGGCAATAATGTCTGTACAGACCTGTCTCTGCTGGGCACTGACCAAGTGGGAAAAGCAGATGGGGAATCTCCTCCATGCTGAGCTCTGCACTGGGAAGGGCATTTTCAGCATGCACTCAGGAGCTGAACTGAGGCTCCCTGCTGGGATGAAACCCAGGTGGGATGGAGAGGGGAAATCATGCCAAGATGCCTCAGGCATTGAGGACATGAAGTGGTGTCAGACTGAAAGGCTTTTGAGGTTGTGAGCTCTTCTGACAGGCTGGGTGGCACACAAACAAACTGCCAACAAAACAGGGGAGGGCAAAGGGACCAGAAGGAAGCAGCAACCTTTGCACAGTTAACTTCCTATATTAGGTAGAAGGCAAAGGGCAAAAGTGAAAGCTTATGTCACTGCTCTCTAAGCTGGGGGATGTCCAGTCTGATTCCATGGCAGGAACCCTGATCCCACTGCACCTCCCTTTCCAGGACACCCCTGCACAGAAGGGGCAGAGCCATCCACACAGCTCCCATGCCAGGCCTTCTCTAGGAATAGCTGGAGCTTCACAACAGAGAGATCCTCACCTTCTCAATGACAATCCCCTCTCCAGGCCTCTGCTTTAATTCTTGAGACTCTTCTCTGGTTCATTCCAATAGAAACAACCCCAACAGTGGGTAACAAGAACGTGGCTCCCTGCATCTATTATTCTATAATTTTTCCATCTCTAGTCCTCCAAATAATTTTTACATCTATTTCCATGAGCTAAATGACCCCTGCCCTTACCCTTCTGCCTTGCTCTAGTGCCTAAAGAGGGAGTTAGAAAAAAATCTTTTTCTCTTTACCCAGTAGATTGTGCAAGTCACAACAGTTCCAAGGAACAAACAAACTTAACACTGGGAAGGATGCTCTTTTGGATGTGTGTTCTTCTTAGCAGGAACTTGGAGCACATGCCCAAGCCACACTGGAAAAATCTCTGGGATTTCTCTGGGATGGGCTGCAGTAGCAGCAGCAGCTTTGGATGCCCTGGGTATCTCAGTGACTCAATGTAATGAACCCTATAGGGAAGGGAATCACTGAAGGTCTGGCACATGTTGCCCTCTGGGCTGAAGCAGGAGCATGACAGGGTAGTGTGAGATCTGCTGCAGCTAATGCCCTTCTTTCTGGAAGATTATAAACAGCTAGGCTCCTGGTCTATCCCAAGTGTCTGACCCACTGGCCTGGCAGCTCAATACTGACAAATATGGCCAAAATTCTAATACTGTCTCCTATGGGCCTTTCCTCATGGCAGGTGTCTCCTCCTCCTCTTTCCCTCTCCCGAGAAAACAGGATCATGAAGCAGTTGTCAGAATCAGATCACCCTAAGCGTGGGGTGGAGGAGGCTGGAGAACCACTTGGCAGGGTGGAGACCAGAAAGCAGATTCCTTTGGCTGGCTGGTGTCCTGTTTTCTTGCCCCAGTGCTGAGGAAGAGACCAGAGGGTTTGAAAGGCAGGTTGTAGGTAAGCTTTAAGGCAGACTGTTTGGTTGCATGGGGTTGTTTTTCACCCTGTCCTGACACAGTAAGGAAACTATTTGTATGGGACATAGCAGCAGGAGTAGCAGCAGCAGACATGCTCAAATGACAAGTGCGGGTGCGAGTTCCCCTCTCTGTGCTCCTCAGAAGCAATCATCCATGTTCCTCAATGCCAGTCCTTAGACTCCCCACTCCCTCACTCCACCATGGGCCCACCTGCCCAGCTCCACACAGAAACACCCCAGAAGCCCTGCAGGCTACAAGGGGACTTTTTGTTGGCTCTCTGAGGGCAGGGGGAGAAGGAGGAGCTGTACAGAAAGGCCACTGCAGTCTGCTGAGCTGCCTGGCTGGAAGTAGCGTTCCTGTGAGGAGCAGATGCATCCCACATCTCGAGCTGGCTGGGTGCCTGGCAAGTCACTTGCCAAGAGACCCAGCCCTGTGGAGATCCCACCCCAACCACAGTGCCCCGAGCATGCGATACCTTGGCATTCAGCATCAGAAAAGGCTCAGCTTGGAGTCCTCCAAGAGCTCAGCCTCTTTTACTAACGGTCTGAGTTGTGAGTGCTGGGGAGGGGAAGGTGTTTTTGCGTTGATCATAATCTCTCACTCTTTCTCTCTCTCTTTCTCTACTTATTTCTATAAATATGGGTGCATAAATAGTTTGTTTCTCGCCTTGAATCTAGATATGAACTGTTCAAATTAGGTGGGCATAACATGCTGTTTTGATACATGAAAGTCATCTTGACTTGACTCTTGGTTGTTTGTTTTTTTTTTTTTCTCATGATCACTATTTAAGATATAATTAATACATAAACCCCTACTTTGAGTTCTCCTTGGACAAAAATTAAAGGCAGACTGGTTGAATTCTAAGGGTCCCTGGTGCAGAAATGCCATCCAGTTGAGCAGCTAAATGTTAAAAACAATACCAAAAGGGATGTGGTGTCTCTCCTAGCCTGCCTTGAGCAGTGTGGTCCTCTTTTCCATGTCACTTGGCTTTACCCAAGACTGAAGCCACGGAGGTCTTTCTGGTTGTGCTCTTGGGCGTTGGGGTCCCGGCAAGCACACTCTCCTTGTAGGTCACAGGACATAGGAAACGGTGTCACCTGGGAAAGAAGCCAAAAACACAAAGGCATGAAGGAAGGAACACGCCTACAGCAGCCTGGAGAACAAAAAAGATCTCTGGGGTGAGATCTTCAGAGATCAGCTGCAATCTTCACTTTGTTATTTTTTACAGTGATTTATGTTAGTGCTGAGCTGGTGCTCCAAGGAGGTCCCTAAGAGCCTACGGTTTGGGTGCTGCTTTATTTATTTATTTATTTATTTGTGCACTTAACTGTGAATGTTCTTGGGTACAGTTCCTCAGGAGCAGAACCAAGCTCTGTCTCACGGATCAGTGCAGCTGGAGTCCAGCAGAGACTTCTCAGAACACCTCTTGTGTTTGAGGTCAGGACATGCAGCTAACAGGCACTGAGGCACAGCAGAGGAATGCAGTGGGAGACTGCTGCATTCACCATCTGTCATCTCTCTGTGACCTCTCTGGAGAAGCGTGGGAAGGAGCTGAAACAATAGCTTGCAATGCTTGCCCTCTGCAAGTTGATTTGGGCCTCTTGCATCACAGTATTTACCTGCAGAAAAGGCAGTGGGACAAGCGTCTCACTTGCCCTGAAGTGAATTCCCAAGAATTTCTCCCATCTGCACAGACTGAACAAATGACCTCATTCCCCTCCTTTACACTCCTTCCAAGGCACTGCCACAACCTGTTCCAATGTTCCCAGCGAGGGCTGCACACGCTCTGTGTGCTCCCCCTGGCTCTGCTGCCACACGTTCACTCTCCCTTTCACAAACACTTTTCTCCAGGCTACAATGCCTGAGTCTGCCTGTTCCCTATGCATCACCCACAGCCCATCTAGGAATGTGGACCCAGCACTGTGCTGTCATCTCCAGCTAGACCTTCCACACGAGTCCCTGCCTGTCCCTCTCCAGGATGCCTTTCTCCTGACGCACACAATTTGGGAAGGAGGGGTGTGGAGCTTTATTTCACAACTGGGTAGCCTAAGGCAGGGACATGCTGACAGAGACACTAAATAGCCAACATTCATCACCAAATCAGGGCTTAGAGAGCCTCCTCCCCTTGCTTTTGATTCCATTCACAGAAGACCCGACCCTCCAGGTGGAATAGGGTGATGACTCTTCATCAAGCTATGGTCTCAGTGACTAATGAACTAAATAACCAGGGAATAATCTGAATCTACAATTGCACAAATATGGAGATTGCAAAGAGAAGAAAGAGTCCAAAAAGTTAGAAGCTAATGAATCCAAATAACTGGCAACTGAATAAGTTTATAAACTGCAGAAAACAATAGGAGCTTAAGGGTCACTCGATCCAACAGAAGCCAGCCTGAGCAGGACTGTCTCATATCACAGTGTTATGAATATTCTTAGATAGGAAAACAGAGAAGTCTGTAAACAATGGGGTTTGGGGAGGAGGCTGAGGAGGGTTTGTTTTATGACTGAGTTAAAGTACTGGAAAGGAAAAAGAAAAGATACATGCAAAATAAAGACTGAGTTTTTTCTGTTCAGTGTAGAAGGAAACATTTTGGTTTAGATTATCTGCTACATTGCAGGTTTGACCTTTCACTTCAAGACAAACAAATAAAAAAGACTATTTCACAGCAAAAGTTATGTCTTGAAACAAAAACTTGTTTCACTTAGAAAATGCTCAAACAAAACATTTAAGTATGCCTGGAGTTTTCCGCTGTTTTCATTTTTTTTTTCCTGAATCATTCAGTTCAATCTGGATTTGGCAATGATTTTGACTTAAAAAATCCTCCCTGATGTACAATGAAGCTACTGGTTGGAGGCGAGACTTGGGAACCTGATTCTTTCATTTGTCTTGATCAAGCTTTTTCCTCTCCCTGGCCTGGATTCCCTGTGTTTGCCTGTAACAACCTGACAAAGGAGATTAAGTAGCCCCTTCATTCAGCCGAGAGACAGGGAAGATGGATCCACACTTTGCACTGAACACAGGTCAGCCACACACCCAATTCAGGCATTCCAGTAAAGTGTCTGAAATTAGTGGTGACAGCCTACTGCACTTTGTCTCTGCTGCTGTCCAGGCTTAAGCAGGATGTGCTGCAGGCACGGAGATCCCAAACACGCTCCCAATTTCACCTGCGGGAACATCAGAGCCAGGAGAGAAAGCTGTGCATGGCTCTGTCTCCAAACCACCAGCTCACATTCCCCTCACCGACTTTCTGCTGAAACAGCAGCCTTAGACACACAAACTGGCATGAGTTTGATGTTGCCTGAAGTGCAACGTCCTTCATTCTCTCTCCTCCTACTTCTCCTCATGAATCCCTTGTTTTCCTCTTTGCTTTCTCACAGGCTGTGCTCAGCCCTGGAGCGACCTGAAAAGGTGCACGTACAAGAGTGGATTGCTGCTGCATTACAGCCAATTCCTGGGGAGATGGAGCAACCAGAGAAGAAATGCCTGGCTGTTTATTGTCTCCCAGTAGTGGTCATGGATAGAAGAGCAGAAGCTTTCTCTGAGGCAGAGCCGTGGCCCCCAGAGCAGAGAGCTTTGTGGCTCAGCAGCAGTTCCCAGCAGTGGGTAGCCTGATGGAGAAGAGTTTCTTCCTGATCAGATCAGTCTTATTCACTTTATGTCCCTTATGGAGGCTTTTTATGCAATTTGATTTTTACAGTGCTATTGTCCAGATAGATGAATTGTTTTGTCTTATGGCAGTGAACTCCAGAGATCAGTTTTCTATTATGTGAAAAGGCAGAGATTTCTATGGGTAATAAGCACAGTCACAGTCAAATTAGACATGACAAAATTCTCCAAAAACTTAGCAGTAATACGGGGTTTTCCACTTTAAACAACATTTACAACAAATACACATTTCAGTTCCCCAAGGACCTGATTTCCATAGGTATTTAGGGAATTTAACCCACACACAGAATCTGCTGGGACTGCCTGAAGTACCCAGCTCAGGGAAACTGTAAAAGCTTAGAAAGTCCTTAGAAGAAGGACTGTCTGTTGCCTTGGGCTCACACAGTGACAGCCTCTGGAGTACATGGACATGAAATAGAGCTGCTGGATGTGCTAGAAATAATAAATGCCGATCCTTTCACTGAATGATAGCCCATTTAGGTGTGGAGCCCAGATATACATACTCCAAGATTAACTACCTCTTTTCTTTTTAAATAGGTCTGTGAAAACCCAACTCATTACCAGAATACATGACCTGCATTGAAATTCCCAGATAGACCCATTGAAGGGCCAGGAGTAAGGAGTCAGCTCCTCTTCCTGCAAAACACCAAACCCTGCATTTCACCTATGTCCATCTCCCCATGTAGAAACCCCAGAAAATGTCTAGGAGAGTGAGAAGAAAAAGCTAAAAATTAAGCTTAGGGCCTGTCTTGGACATTTGATAAAGTAATGCAAGATATTGTATCCTCAGACCATCTAAAGTAGATTGAAAAAGACATAAGTGAAGAACATAGCTCCACACACCTACACACACAGCTCTTGGAGATGATCCAGCACAGTCATGGCACTGGATCAACAATGCTCCGGGGAATGTGAGTCACACCACAACCACACTGGACCACAGACTATCCATCATCAAGAGAAAAGAGACACAACCTTCATCATTCCTGTCACCTGGAGTGTGCAGGACATGACACATCCTGCTCTGAACCTAGAGGAGCGAGGGCAGCAGGTGTGGGATCACAGGATGGGCGGGAGGCTGGCACAGACAGCCGGGTGTAACTCACGGGGGATCCAAAACACCTCTGCCAACTCACCACCATTGCTGCACAGTGCATGACCTCAGACTTCCTTCTCCACCAAGGCATGGGAGCTCTGAGCATCCTCTGCCACACTGAGCAAAGAGACTTTGGATAAACTCAAACTGTCTCTTAGAAACAGGGCTACATTTGTGCTGGATGCCGTGCTCCCAACTGTGGGAACAAAGGTAACAATGCGACAGAGCAATGCAGAACTGGGATGCAGGTCATGGAACGAGTGAGAGGTCATAACTCCTCACTACATGCACCTATCTGAAGAGGCTGGTGACATCCCAAGGCTGATCCCTGCTGAGAAAGGCCAGTCTGTAGGGAACGGATGGGAATGTTGACAGGAGAAATCCCAGACAGGTAGAGGGAGGGATGGAAAACAGCTCTGCAAAGGCTGTAAGCTTGTCCCTCACAGAGTCTGATATCAGGCTGACCTGGCTGTGCCTTCTGCCCGTGCCTGGGGTTGGCTCACAGCAGTACCAGGGCAGGCAGGATCGGGTCCACGGAGGGGGAAGCAGGGGAGGAGGGCTGCAAAGTGTTGGGAAACAGGCTGTTGTTAGATTTCAGCCCTGAAGTGTTTGCGAAATCTCCCAGACAGGCCTCACTGGGGCTGCGGAGGCCCTGCTGCAGGCAGAGCCTCGGCGGGCAGTGTGGCCTGGGAGATAAGTGTGGCAGCCTGTGCTGAGTGTCACAGCCCTGTGCCTCCCCAGAGCCTCCCAGCTCAAACACCAGGGACTATTCTGTTCTCTGACAGGGCCCTTGTGGGATAAAAAAGCATCTTGGAAGGGTCTTCCCAGTGGTTTTCAGCATTGAGGTCACGAGTTTGAGATAAGGGAGAAAGAGCGAGCCCCCTTTTAGCTCTGAGCACTGGTATGTGGGTTCACACCTAGGGCACTGCTCCAGAGGGCCTGGGAAGACCAAGCCGGCAGGAAACCTCCTCTCCATGCAGCACATGCAGTTCTAAAAGCCTGAGTTTTCATTAACAACCCCACCATAAATTGAACTTTCCTCCAGTGAAACCAGCAACTGTGGTGTATCGAGCCGTAGCTCAGCTGAACCCAACAGATGCTCTGCTCTCTCCATCATGTGCAAATTGGGAGCTGCCTCACCAGAACCAGTGGGAGCAGGATGGCCCGAAGCCAGCAGGGATTCCCGGGAAAGCCCAGCCCGCATGGATCCCGCATCCCCGCCTGCCCGCGGAGCAGAGCGAGGGAGCCCGCTTGCCAAACCACACGGAGCTCAGTTGCTCAGCAATCAGCTGTGCTTCCTACTCTCGTGCTACTGATTGTGCAAACATGAATGT